AGTTAGATGCAAAAACGTTTAAGATGAAGAGATTTTTCAGTGTGTTCAGAATATGGGCACATGTGTCATATGTTATTATATTTATCTTCCACTTGTATAATAACGTACCACTTTGTGCTCCAAACACATTAAAACAATCTATATTCAAAATGAATGGTTAGAGTGGACACGTAGGTTAATTAACACCCAATGAAATATTTATCATATGATTGGACTTGATTGTGATGATGGCACAAGAGATATTTTATATTAGGGTAAATATCAATTTACTACCCTCATGTTTTATGGTTTTTAACAATTAGTACATCAAGTTTTTATCATCCTAGAGTCATACTTAAAGTGTAAATTTTTGGGACAGTTATACATCCGTTTGTCAAACTGTTAAGTCTTCCATTAACTGATAATGTGGCGCCCACGTGGACAATGACTGGGCGCCAAGTGTCATTAAGGGTTCCACATGGCTATTAAAAAAAAATTTAATTGCAAAATTACAAAAAAAAAAATAAAATCGTTTTTCTCCTTCGAACATCTTTTTATTCTCCCTCACTTCTTTAACCCTCTTCTCTCTCCTCTTCTGCACACCCTATCTGCCATGGGAGATGAGCAAATCCGTACCCCACCTTCTCCCTTGCACCATTTTCTCTTCTGTAACCCGTATCTCTTCCCTCATTTCTCTCTTTTGTACTCGCACCACCCTTCATTCTCTCATCTGCAACTCATATCCACGCTCCATTCTCTCATTTTCAACCCATACCCACCCTCCCAGCTATGAGGCCTCAACAACCTCATCCTACACACAAGGTTCTACCTTTATCCACTTCCCCGTTGCTGGGCAAGCCACTTCGATACCTACAAAAAAACGCGATTGAACCAGCTTTAAACGGCAAAATCCCCATGGCAGCTAGACCTGAAGAGATGCCGATTGCAATAGCCGTTGACTTCAGAAGCAAGATTAACACCAGCACGATCGGGCTCTTACGCTCTCGCTTAGAATCTCCTCAGCGAGGGCGATGTATTACAACGACAAGGGCTTAACGACGGCCGATGAAGCTTCGAGTGGGAGAATTGGGTTTGGTATTTGCGGACGGGGACAGAAGGGTCGATATTGGGCTTCTGGTTGGATCCAAATACCCGAGACCTGACCTAGCATTTGTGAAATCCTCGGCAGTTTCCTGCGTGGAGGTTTGATTAGGTTGGTGAGGTAGTGGTGCAGTGTGCTCTTGGAGAGTGACGGGATGGATATAGGAAACCCTAGCAAGCGATGGATGCCATTGCGGAAGTTGACGACGATGAATCAGCGACGGGAAGGTTAAATTGAAAGGTGGGGTTACAGAACTGGAAGTGAGTGATTTGGGGGAAAAAATTGGGGATTGGGAAAAAGGGTATGTGAAGAAACCTCGGAGGTGGTTTGCCAGAGAGAGAAAGAGAGAGTGAAAGCTCGCAAGTACGGATTTGCATATATGGGTGGAGGCCGAGAAGGGAGGGAGAAGGGAGGGACGGTCGGGGGTTGAGGAATAATAGATTTATTTTTTTTTAATTTTGTAATTTTTTTTAATATCCACGTGGGACCCTTGTTGACATGTGGTGCCCAGTCATAGTCCACGTGAGCGCCACGTCATTAGTTAATAGAAGACTTAATAGGTTGACTAACGGATGTATGAGACTGTCCCAAAATTTACACTTTAGGTATAACTCTGGGACAAAAAAAATTGATGTGCTAAATGTTGAAAACCACAAAACATAAGGGTAGTAAACTGATATTTATCCTTTATATTAATAATAAGATACTTTTTTTATTGTGATAAGGACATTTTAAAGTAATATAATATAAGTTGACGAGATTCTGTTCATATGGAATACAATGCAAGAGTGCAGCCAAAAATTTGCATAGGAGTAGGATGATATTTCTGATATCATGTCAAAAGATGTAAAGTGGTTCCAAATTCAATGGGTCGCAATTTGGGAGCGGCTAAAGTGAGGTTCGGTTAATGTTTGCTTAGCAGGTTGGAGCCGTTGGGCTAATCTATGTGGGCGGTCTAAGAATTAACATTAAAATGTTCTTTCCAAACCTACCCCTATGCTAGAACCCTCTCTAGGTTTGTCTTGGTTAGTTATGCCCTCGATCCACTGGACATATTATGTGGTACTAAAAATACATATAAATATTATAATATGTTTTAACAAGTAACATTACGTGAATGTGTGACTATAACACTGAAGAATTATTCAAACAACATATATACTAAAAATTATTAAATAATGAAGAAATTTAAAGTAATTTTTCAAAATTTACTTGCATTTTTATTAATAATTGATTTTAAAAACATTTTTTTCAAAAGTTTTTTCAATAATCGTTGTAAAAACACTTTAGCAACCATTTTAGACGTTTTGTTGTTTGACTTTGAAGGCATATTCTATTGGAGTTTGTTTTTTCTTTCAATTTTTGTAAATCAAGATCTAGTGGAATTAATATCAGATAACTCATTCCAATAGAAGTAGACAACGTGTGGGGCGTCTTTGCATGAAAGATTAACATATGGGGGAGGTTCTTATGTTAGAAGTTTTTGTCATCATTGATAATAAAAAAAAATTAAAATTCACATGGATTTGGTTTCTTGGTGTATTTTTGTGTTTGGTAGTACTTAATTATTAATTAATTGATATAATAACAAAATATTATGGATTGGGGAGGTTGGACTTGGTATGGTTTGGAAGCTGGAAGTCTGTTGGTGCAGCTGCTTAATTACGTATTAGTTTAATTTACGGCAATTAGTTTAGTTTCCCGCAACTAATAACGTGAAGGCATGGCTGGTGGATGGCTCCAAGAAAACGAACGAGTCAAAATATTTAGGTTTTGGGAATCCTGGTCCTGCTTTCGACGTGGTTTTTGTCCCACACGTGCCGCGCTACAATGCAATGCGAGATGCATGGTTTGAAACTTTCCAACAGGATCATTTCTTTTGACTGAAGATAATGAGAATCTGTAAATCGTATTAATTCATCGTATATTGTACGGTCAGTTTTTATCATATACTGTTTGTATTTAATTTTAAAGAAAAATATTTTAAATGATTTATGATCATACAATGTTCGATAAATGTATATAATTTACAGATTCCCAGAATCCTCACAAAAAAAATTCAGATTTTGAAACTTGGATCTGGATGACATCAATGGTGATCATTTGTAGGAAAAGGTCACCTTCACGTGTACGTCTGTGTGCGTGTTTGTTGTTCCTATATCCTATTTATATCACGCAATTCGAATCCGTTTGGCATGATCATTCGTGTGTGGAAATTTGCTCAAAAGTTGCAAACCAGCGTGTTGTATGACATCCCTCAAAAAAAAAAAAATAAAAAAAATCCATATTGTATGACATCGATGATTATTTAGTTTAATGACATTTCATTTGGCTACTATAATTGAATATTCTAATATAAAACTCATAAAATTTAAAGTATTTTGAAAATAGGCACTTTTTGTTTAATTTGAGAGGATTATAAAAAAATTAAATGATAATGAAACTTATCATTTATGGTACTTCAAAAATCTCATTTTATATTCTAAATTTTCTATATTTGGAAAGAAAAATACACTTATGAGGAGTGTAGAATGAGATTTTTGAAGTGTCAATAACACTTCTCATCCTCTTAATTATATTATTTTGGGAAAGACTAGAACGTATAAATTTATTTAATATGTATATATCTTCTAATCTTTATGTTGGACGCAACCTTTTGAATTTTTTCCCCAACAATCTTTCAAGTTATCAGTTCGAATTTAGTTAATCATCATTTGGTTTTAATTTGTTTGAGCTCAAATCTTAGGAACAAATTTGGTGAATAGGAAAAAAATAACAATATTAATTGCATAAACAAAGTTAAATATGCATTACAAGGCCGCTTCTCTTCTTCTTTGCGTGTGTGTTTAGTATCCTAGGTCTCTCTTCTCTGAGAAAAAAACTTACGTCATATCAAGTGACATCCTAGGTCTCTCCTCTCTAAAAGAAAAACTTGCATCATATCGAATGACTAGTTAGTCAACTTGACTATTAATATTGAAAAGAATATCAATATGTTATTGATTATCGACGTGTTGTTCATATTACTAATACTATAGTATTGATAGATGTCGATATTATATATCGTTTTGATATGTTTGTAGGTTGTAAGGTCCATATAACAAGTATAATCTTATTGATTAGAAGTTATTTTTCCTCCCCACACATAAAATTAAGGATAGTGCTATTTATACATTCATTTTTACTTTTGCATATCCTTGTTATTGATATTCTTCAAGTTATTTGATCTAACGCACTGGAGGAGTCACATTAAGGGCTACCCTGGGCTGTAGCCCTAGGTAGCTTTCGGTAGAAAATAAAATTTTACATGTAATTTTTACTGTTTTTCGAATGTAGCCCACCATATATTTAGTTATTGATTCGAATTCTTTTGGTTTAATTATATAATACAGTTTACAAACCATCTTTTTTTCTCACATCTTTTTCTCATCACTTCTTGTGCATGTACACATGTACAAGTTCGAATTTATTTGAATAACGAAAATTCTTGGCTCACCTTATGAAATTTTCTTAAGCTAGCTGATAGTGTGAAAATTTTATTTGTTTATAAAGATTTAAATCTTTAAGCTAGCTAGCCCATCCGGTAAAAAATTTCTAGCCCCGCTATTGATCCAATGGTTAAAAATTAAAAGAAATGTGTAAGAAGTAAAAATATGTATGTGGATAGCACTACCTAAAACCGATGATTTTCTAATTTAAGTTTACAACTGTATTAAAATATGTAAATCTACACTGAACCCAAATCTAGTCTTGTAGCCACATAGAGCTGCTACAAGCCTGCAAGAGGATGCAAACCTAGAAGGGCACCATGTAGGGTAAACCTTTTCCATATGGGCCTATCCAAAACTAGAACGAGTCCATCTACCAAACAAAGGAAAAGAAGGGAACCAGAAATTTTTGGACATTTTGCACAAAAAAAGAAACTTCCGTACACAAGACCCGCATATACTCTGAGCTTCTACACCCAATTTTCTGAATCAATTACGCCTACATCTACTTTGTACAACCTCTTTTCCTTCCCCTCGCCGGAGTTATATTTTGTTGACTACTTCTACGTCCAACTTTTCTTGGGTGACCGGAGGCTTTCTTTGTCACAGCGAAGGATTCAACCGAAGGAGAAGAATCAGCATTAGCATGACTGGCGTTCTTACTTCTGTTTGATGCCTTAGCAGCCACGTTTCCCGCATTGCTAGCCTTTCCTGAAAACTTCCGGTTGCCAGGGCGAGCACTCCGGGGTTTAACCGGTGTATTACACTCTAGTGCATTTGAGGAGAGGTTGGCAGAGGCAGTCTTGCTGCTAAAGTCCTTAAAATGCTGCCGCATTGTTTTTGTGGTGATGTCTCTGAGAAGCAAAGCGGATTTGTATTCACGCGTGTTCTTCGAGTAAAACACCAAGGCATTGTTTGCCAGCAGCAAAAGATCTCGAAAGAGTTCCTTAACTGACATGACAGAGCGATTGAAAATCCTCGATCTTATTGTGTCGAAATCCATGTGCCTACGGATCAATTTCTTATATCTTCGTCTCTTCTGCCAAGAAATAGAGTGGATTGTTAGAGCTGTATACATTATGCCGAAGGCTTGTTTCATGCATTATATAATTTATTCTACATTATGCCGAAGCCCTTACTGAATCCGCAGATTCAAGTAATGGATATCTTTGAAAAGTGATTGACGCGCATCCCTTTTCTCGAATACACATCTCTGACTATTCGAATAAATCAAAGAATTAAAGAACATAAATAAACAGCAGCATGAAGAAGTAGAAAAGAGGCGTACAAAAATTATTTTCTTATCTCTAAATCATAAACAAGCATGTAAAGTATGCACACCTGGCTATCAAGTCGATGACGAAAGACAGAGGCACTTTTATGCTCCGAAATTGAATTGAAAACATCCTGCAACTCGTCAATCTCATCCTTGGTCGAACCTCTATTGCAATCGCCTGCGCCTGACGATCCAAATTCCTCGCGACATTCGCTGGTTGAATTTTCTATACACCGCAAGGTAGTTACAGCATCAGCAGAATCCAAAAAGCCGCTGTCTCCAATGCTGCCTTCCTTGACATCCCTACTACAATTCTTCCTCTTTCGTTTACCGCGTCGCTTTCGTAGAGTCCCTCCTAGTCCTACATACAAAGTCCCTACCAACTTCTGGATGCCTGAGATTTTCTCAATTTCGGAAGAGTGCGAAGCTTCTCTTTTAGTCTCCGTTTCTTCAGCTGACACTGTCACCAGTCATGTGGCATTCGGGCGAGCTGCTTGCCAATGCTTCACATGTAAAACTGCCGGCTGATGGCTCGTCCTTAAATGCCTCTTTAACAGATGGGTAATGTCCCTTTGATTTTCGATAAGCAACAGGTGATTCTGTCTGGCTGGAGTCGTAATTGTTGTAACCATCTTCTTCTTTCTCCGCCTTGAGAGATTTAAGCTTCGATTCCAATGACCTATAATGCGGCGTGATAAAATGTTAACGCAAATGCAAGGAGACAGACCGGAGAAATGTAGAGCAAATCTTCTATTCATGGTCTTGATGATTAGAATATGAAAACATTAATTTGAGATCATTTTTGGAACATAAACATGTCAAAAAAGAAAGGACTAACCCTATCGAGTCTTCGGATTGTTTCAGCGCTTGTCTCAACTCTTCCATTCGTTTCTTCCGCAAATCTTCAAACCAAGCCCTAAGGAGATGATATTAGGCATAATAATACGATCACGTATAATTATATTAATCCACATATATACTTATTAGAGAAAGGAAATTCAAAGCTAAATCAAATAAAATAGAAATTCACTGGTCAAAATCACAAGAGCTTTTTGGTTAAGAACTTACTTAGAACCCGAGTATCGCTTTCGCAAGTCATGATATTTGGCTTTACAAACCTGGTGATAAGAAATACAGGTGATATTAATTGGACGAGCAAATAAATCTCTCCATTTTGCACACTAATGAAAGTACCTGCATCCATTTTCCACTCTCAAGCAGAATATAAGTACAGCTTATCATGTTTAGCATTAGAAACTACATTGCACACAATGCAGCATTTATCGAATACATTTTTCTTTTTTTCAAAAAGGACATTTTGTTGAGCACTATAGAGATAGAAATATTAGAATTCAGAATCTATTTCAATATTGGATTTAGGGTTTTATGGTGCACATTTAATTTAAATACAATGATAGTCACAAATCTGATGAGTATATAGTATACAAAACTCTAAAAGATTGATGTGAGTTAGGTTAGTTGACAAAGATAATGTATATACTCTTTGCACTCAGGTTCAAATCCGCTTTCATTAATTAGTTTAAAATATTACCCACACAACAAATGAAAAGGCAGCATAAACAAAGTAAAACCAGAAAAGTGAAAACCATCCATAGGAGAGAAAATGAAAATTGAACGCAAAAGCAAAAACATAACAAGATGCATAAAGAATCGGACAATGGAATCGAAGATGAAGACCAATAATTCAATCCAACATAGCAACAGGAAATCAAAATACAATACAATGGAACATGTTAAAAAATGTAGTTAAAAATAACAGTAAACAATCAAATTCAAGAAGAAAAAAGAAGGGAAAACCTCAGGCGTGAAAGTGTAGGGACAAACGGTTCTGGCTTGGAGCTCCTCCGCGACCTGGTTCCAGTTACGGGTCCCGTATCTTAGAATGGCCCCAGCCAACAGGAGCTCAACCCATGTCCCCCACCTGCTTCCTCCTATTACCTCCGCTGCCATCTTCACCCTCCACGCGTACGCCCCTGATCATACCACCACCGCCGCCACCGCCTTCCCTTTTCTTATTATAGGTACCCCACCACCGGTTCACATTATCCTCACCGCCGCTCCTCCGATTATGAATTTCCAAAAAAGAAGAAAGAAACCCTATTGAATGGTCCGTAAAAGAATTAAATGGCCACCTTTTGGGTATTTGGAAAACCGGTACTTGGAGATGTTTGGTTGGCTTGAAATTTCGGATGGACGAGGGAGAGGGAGAGAGAGGAGAGAGAGAGAGAGAGAGAGAGGTGGTTTTGGAAGGTTTAGCTGGTATTGAAGGTGGTTTTTTTCACTTTTTGTTTTAGGTTTTTCAATTATAGTAGGGTTGAGAAAAGGCGTTGACAGATTCTATTTTCTATTGAGGGTTGACGAGAAAAAGCCCTAAAAAAACTAAACACAAGGTACCATAAATGGGAAAGGGATCCTCTCCGGATCCACTTTGTGGGATCCTAGAATACCTATATTTTAACCTGTTTATCGTATATCGTACGATTAGTTTTCGTTAGATATTATTTGTATTTAATTTTAAATAAAAAAATTAAATAATTTTTGACCGTACGATACGCCATAAATGACTAAGATGTGAAGATCCTAAGATCTCCACAAAGTGATCCGAATGGGATCCAATCCCCCATAAATGGACTCTACGAAAGATCACTACCAAAAATGGGAACAAATAAAATGAACAATGGAACTTAGAATATTATTTTATTTTAATATAATTACACTAAATTTATTTAAAATACGGAGGGAAAGTTCATACTTTAATTGGAGAAACTCTAACCATCCTAGCTAAATGTAAATTATCTAAGGTATAATATTATTCGTCATTATTGTTAATTTTGTTTTTGTACCACTAGCAATATGCTTTAGTAATAGTATTCATCTTTTTCTTTTCTTTTTTTTGTCAAATGATAAATATTGTTAGATTAACTAACTTTAAATAAAGCTTTTTTATATTTTATTTTCTTTTTTTAAATCAATTCCTTCTACATATTTACCTTGAATTTGATATCTTCAAGCAACTATTTGTTATGTAGTTAAACACTAAAACACTATCAAATGGGAGACCCCATTAGATCTCTCTCTAATTGAGGTAGATCATAGATGTTGATGGTTTACAGCCAAACATTTTCTCTGAGGACGTGTAATTCAATCAAAAAAAAAAATCTTTTTCTTTGAATAATGCTTGGTAGACCAAAATGAGAAGTCAAATTTGATACCTATATAAAGGCGTAGCTTGATGCTTTTCACTTCTTAACAAAATTCAGGTTAGTACTGAACTCTTACTTAACTGTGCGCGACTAGAAATTCTACAATTCATAAGATGGTTCAACCCGTGGCTAATATCCACCAAAGCCACATTACGTGGCTACTGAATACAAAAGGCCCGTTAGGTAATTCGTGGCTCATGCTGTGATGAGAACCATATATCAGCCCTTAGGTCATGAGTTTGGTATGAATGAAATTATATACTCCTCTCATTATCTCTCTCTCTTTTCCTTCTTTTAACGGATCTGAATCGAGGTCCTTTTGGAGAAGCTCATCAGGATTAAGTAACGATCTCATTGCGTTTAAAAGGGGAATGGCAAAGACAACATTGATCGACCTACCCAACGAGGTCATGTTTGAAATTCTTCTGAGGTTACCCCAGAAGCACTTTTTCGCTTTGCATGTGTCTCCAAAACCTCACAAACAACCCCTCCCCCCCCCTCTCTCCTTCTCTTCCCCCCGGCTTTCTGCGCTGCGGATGCCACGTTTACTTGATTCTGCTGCCAACTTTGGTGCTGCTGATGAACTTGATCAAGTACCTCAACTTGCTCAATCTTGCAGGGATTGCAAAATAAGGGTCTTGCCGTCACAGTTATAGGACGATACTGGCAATTATGATTTGAAAGAAACTAAGCATGCTCTTCCCCTCACAAGATCGTTCAATGGTTACAAATGATGTATGTTTTGTTTTCTGCAACTTGTTTTGCTTTAAAGAGAGTCATGTACACGGCGATATCCATGCTTGATGCTTAATCCTCTGAGCGGAGAAGTTCTAAGGATTCCTAGCAGTACCACCGACGATGAACGCTCCAACAGACCACTCTTGGAAATTTGGAATGGTACGATATGGGATTGGATAATATTTCTAACACCTACAAGATTGCTCATGTTTCGCACGCCAACAGCATTACGTATGACAGTGTTGCCCCAGTTTATGTATTGGGCACAAGCTCACGGCAAGAAATTGACTCAGTTCCTCCTTGCGAGTTAAACAACAATAAGGCATCTGCGTATGGAGATATGCATCGACTTGTTTTTGAAAATAAAGAATTTCTTTGACTCCCTCATCCCAACATAGAGTATTCTCGCCGTCGGAGTTGCTTACAGTGTGCTTAACTCGAGGGTATCCTTGGCCATTGGGGATATTTCATACACTTGTGTTGATTATGGATGTTCAAAAATAAGAGAGAGTGGATGTCACATTACAAAATAGATACCCTCGCAGTTGAAAATCGAACTCTGCTCTGGTACCATTTGATAGAGACTTGTGGTGTATGGGAGCATGTCATATTCTTCAAATTAAACACTATTGGTAAAATAATAGAAAATATTGGTCAGAAAAAAGAAAATGTTGGCGTATGCTACTTTTTGGATCGAAGACATGATTCCATGGAAGCTATGAATCTTCCACTTTACCCTCAGTGTACTTCTACATGAAACTTTGTTATTGTTTGATCCAAAGATTAACTGTTCAACTAGTAACAGACTGCCAACCCACTTTCGCAGAATTCAGTTGCAATTAAATATCATTTTCTTTCCATTCTTCATGAAATTATTTCTTTCTTACCTTGCCAAAACACTCAAATCTGAGACCAATAAATTGTTGGCTCTACGTTTTCTTTCGTTTTACCATTCATATTCCGATGATCGAGTACAAAGAAGAGGCTTTGCTTGTTGTGTTTTGTTTTCTGCAACTTGTTTCTCTTTAAGCGCGAATGGCAAAGCGGAGGACCATTTTTCTTGCTCAATCCTCAGAGGGGAGAAGTACTAAAGCTCCCGATTAGTGACGGAAAAGTTGCAAACCACATCGGAGAGAAAATAATTGCGGAATGGTACGGTGTTGGATTTGACAATCTAACCAACACTGCCAAGATTGTTCGTGTTCTCAAAAAAGGAACACAAATCCAGCACACGATGGTGGCCCAAGTTTATGCATTAGGAGCTACCTTATGGCGAGAAATAGATTCGGTTCCTCCTTACGACTTAAGCGGAAATAAAACATCTGCGATATGCATTGGTTTGTATACAAGGACGGAAATGGGGAACATGATAACCACATCATCTCTTTTGATCTCAACAAAGAAGAATTCTTCTGGACTCCTCATCCCAACATCCAGTTTTTGCACCACCATAGCCTCGTTCATTTGCTTAATCTGAGAGGATGCTTGGCCGTCGTGGATCTTTCTTCAAACGATTGCATTGATGTATGGGTGTTGAAAAATAAGAGAGAGTGGGTGCTCGATTACAAAATGGATGCCCACAAGTTTGTAGAAGAACAATCGAGAGTTGTTGTGCATGGGAGCAACAAGGAAGTGATCGTTGGACAACAACTGGCGGATTTTCAACAAGGAAGTGATTGTTGGCGGATTTTCAAGCCTAGATGTGGACAACAACTGGATGACGTGGAGCGCGTGTAGCCGTTGGGCTTCACACGTGGATAAATTGGATGACGTGGAGCGCGTGTGGCCGTTGGGCTTCACACGTGGATAACCTTGCTCTGATACCACGATGAAATTGGGGTTCCACCATAAAACCAATTGATCATATGGGAAGTAATCCAAGATCATATAAGCACATAACAAACCTTGTCCCTCACCAATGTGGGACAACTCCCAACAAGTTGTATATCTTCCAACTTTACCGCCGGGTTTCTTCAACCCGAGAATCTTCAGTTTCACAGGAAGCCTGATTTCTCTGAAAAATTATGGCAATTTGGTCGAAGGCGAAACAAAAGGGATATGGGAAAATATTTTCGTCCAAGATCCAAGAACAGGTACATGGCATTTTGATTAGTGTGGAGGAATATAGTTTACTTGACATGTGAACGTAAATTGACATTGGGTTTCTTTTCCTCCACGAAATGTGGAATCATGAATCGAAAAGATGTGCGAAAGTATGAACAAACGAATGTATTTATATCATTGACGGACTAGAAATTTCAGAGTACATGTATCATCGTTAAGGTACAAACAGCGATCTCCCCCACATCGGAGCATTGAAACCAGAAGATTTTCAAGCAATGCCAAAGACTATCGAACTGGAGGGATGCCAACCGGTGAGTGTACAAGCTCTAAGAGAAAGATATTTACTTCAAGCTTTTCCTCACAAAACTCTTGAACTTTTGCATTCCGTTATTGACAAAAGCCGAAGGGGACTCCTCAAACAAAATTGTAACAGGAGAAACTGCGACTTGGCATGAATGTTAATGTAGAGCGGTGTTGTATGTGCGGCCCCCTTGTTACGGGATGCAAGCCAAGCCATCCTTTGGCACTTTTGGGTGAGACGGAATCTGTTATGACTGTTGAATAATTAGATTCAATTCCTGAGCACATCTTGCCAGCACACCACCCCTCCTGCATCCAAAACAAAGGGATGAATCCCCCCGAGTGAACACAGCTTATCTTCGAAGAGAGAAATTTTGTCGCATTCTCATTGCATGTGCAAAGGACATCTTTTATTTTCCAAAAGATTTTTGTATTCACAGGTTATGTCAATGGATTTTGTATCTAACCTGACAAAGACCGGAAGAATTTTCTGGATCTTTTGCAGATGGATGGAGCATTGCTTGCAGCATTCCAGCCTGAAAACGCAAATTTCAAATTGAAATCCATTCACCATGTACGAGAAAAGAGTTTAGCAAACTTCTTAAACAGACAATACCTTTGCTCTGCCTGAAGGTTGACACCGACAGGTCGAGGTCCTGAAACAGTTGAGTGGATGACTGGGCCAAAGACTGCCACTAGCTTCAATAGCATCTCCAACGAAATATTTGCATGCCTGTACATTTGAAGCATAATAAATTTTTTGTAAAAACACAATCAACTCCAACACATACTGGCACGGGGATTTGGGATTAAGGGCCTTTACCCCCATAATATATGCACATTTAAATCAAGGTGCATAATTATAGTAGTAATTCACGTCTCAGAAACAGTTCCACAAAAATTCCAAGTATTTGACCAGTCCACTGCTAAGACAATGAGTTTGTTCACAACCTTATTCATTACACTATTACCTTTCTGTCTTGCTATCAAGTAAGCCCAGAAGCACAGGAAGCAAACAAGAAAACAGATCTAATGTGAGACAATCCATTTTCTCCAGAAGAACAGTAACAACATCCGCTTGTACCTGCATCATGATCAGATTAAATTTAGAAAACCCAAATATACAGAGAGAACAGCAGTGGTTACTTGTTAGAACCACTAGACTTGGGAAACAATATATACAAAACATGAACTCATCTAAAAAAATACCCACAGAATGATCTGGCAGCTTCCTGATAGCACTGATAGCACCTTTAATATCATTCCGTTCCCAAAAATGCCGCACCACCTACAGTTGCACAAAATTGCATGTCATGACTTCCATAAAGGAATCAATGCTTGAAAGAAATGTTCAAGAGGCAATTCATATATGGCTTGTACATAAAAGGAAGAAATTATAATACAGTATTGTGGCACTGTAATTTATTTTTCAGCCTACTATCAGTAGACTGATTTTTAATCATCACATTGAGTGCAGCAACTCTAGTGTTATAAATTGTGTATTAACATAGAATCCTAGATTGGAGCAAATTTGAGAACAAAATATCAGACCTCAAACCTGTTTATGCCACAAAGTTATCTACATTAGGTTGCAGTCACTAAAGAATCTAATGTTCAGAAGAACCACACAACAGATCATGTGTCATTGGTTCATGCAAAAAAACATTTACGGAAAGATAATGTACCTGCAGTTTTGTCAGGCGGGAACGAAGGGTACTGAGAAATACGTCGTGAGTTTGCATCAAATCTTCAGGACCCTCATTGTTCGTACAGATCATATGCCTCCCAGAAATTTGAGGTCCTTCTTTCTGCTTATGAAACTAGTAAAGATTAACTTCCAGTTTGAAAGAATAAGCAATATGCACTGAGGCTGTGGGCAATTTTTTTAGGTTCTCACTTATTTCGCATGTCAAATAAACCCCTTACTCTAAAGGCCTAAGCTAATACAGATGGTCACTTTCTATATATACTTTAATATCACATGATTAAACTACTAACTTCATGAATTCCTTATGTTCTAAAAAGTAAAAAGGTCCTGGTTTTCAGTCCGAAGCTTGAATCACGTAGCTTCTTCTACTTTAACTGAAAACTGAAATTTCAATCCACTACCCTTGGCTGTTTTTAAGTCTAGAAAAACATCCTCTTGGGGCAGAAATATTTACCAGCATGGTGGATGCTGTGTCCCTTTCAGGTATCACAGGTCTAGAGATGTTAGCTTCAACTTCAGGTATCACAGGACTACAGATGCTTGCTTCAACTTCGGGTATCACAGGACTAGCTACACAAGTTGTTTTGATCTTTAGGTATCACAGGAGTAGATATGCAAGTTGTTTGATCTTTAGGTATCACAGGACTCAATATGCTAGTTGTTTGATCTTCAGGTATCACAGGACTCAATATGCTAGTTGCTTGATCTTCATTACCATCAAATTTGTCTCTCCTTTCAAACCGCTCAACCAGGGTGCGAATCCTTCCTGAAACAACGGCAACTGCCAAATGCGGAATCTTAAGAAACCAAGTTCCATTCAATACAATGTTAGAACCACAAATAAGGTAAGCAATGACAAACCTCCATTCACAAATTTAACAGAGTTCGTGTCCTTGCTGCAATTGAGGGATCCATTTCCTGACATTAAAGAAAATCAGTAAGCTCCAGCTGGAAGGGATAATGGAAAGGTTCATTCAAGACAAATCAAGGATATATAGGTCAATGATAAAAGGAAAAGTAAGATGCAAGAACTGATTAAATAAAATACAATTTTGACTTCAGAGCGCTACATAAGAACAAAAACTTACTGGCTTCAAGATTGGAGGGATTATTTGGTGAAAATACTTTTTCAAATTTCTCTTCTACACTCTTGATCTCAGAATGCTTTTCCTCACTGGACTCTCTACCCGTATCTTCTGATACACCTTTGGTTTGAGAGTTAAGATCCACTGCATTATCTAACGGCAGCTTCTCGAAGTCAATTTTGCTATTTGATGGCCTTCTTGCATGAGCAGGTTTGAGCAACATACCACGCCTGGTCCTCGAAAGTGCAACACCATCCCCTCCAGGGTTAGCTGTATCTTTTTCATCAGGACTGCTCCGTGGTACAATACTAGGCACAGCCAGTGATTTATTGACTACTTGTTCATTAGATTTTGGAGGCAACCGTACTGAAGGATTCTGCTTCGCAGCACTGTTTGCCTTTGAATCCGAAGAGGGTACAACCTTTGGAGAATCCATTCTCCGCGAGGCAACTGGCTTTCCTCCACTACCTTTACAAAGATTATAAAACATAAAATAAGAGTAACTATAGGACAAACAGAAGTCATAAGGAACACAAACGCTGAATAAAAGTTACATATCTAGCAAATATATATGTTTCTAGAGTCTGGTGGTGGGAGAACCTAGATTCCCTCATTGGTTCATGGCCCACAACAGTGCAATATCATGAGTGCAGGGCCAAAATGGTTTTGGCAAAGTTTATGCTCAACTAAATATCACAAACTACTCATCTCCAGTCTCGATGTGGCTTAAGCAATACCAGGCCAATGTTCAATAGTATGAATAGTAATAAAAAAAAATCAATTTTTTTTTTATTTTATTTTATCAAGGTAACAACAATGTGAATAAATTCATTTACACAACTTTATCAAAAGTAGAAGCCATATGACAAGCATTGGGAACAAAAAAAATTCTAAAGTAGGGATGGAAGGAGAACCCCAAACTTAAATAAAACGATAACAAAACAGGAAAAGAAGAAAGCTTACAATCCACATATATGTTTTTTATTTCCTTTGTGTCATAATCAGGTGACATACACCGCAAGCCCGGATTTCTTATACCACTCTCTACCTTCCCCGCAATTTCCGGGAGTTTAACGGAAGGTTTCTCATCTGCACAGTCATCATGCCCAGGTGTTGAATCAGCTGCATATGGCTTAGTAAGCTGAGACAGAAAGAGCAGAGTAGCATTATTACGACTCACAGGTCTCAGTCTCAAAAACAACAATTGGAGTTTCAAAATAACATAAAAAGGAGTAACCAGGAAAAAGATTTAAGTCAAGTGAATACCGATATATCCGCAACCCAAACTCCAACAGAATTTCGATAGTATGAGCAGCCCAACAGTTTCCCATCATGAATGCATAAGTCACTAAGTCTGTTCCATCCCATATCAACAGAATCATGACATATTACAGGTTCCCATGAATAAACCTACAAATAGAGATCTTAAGTTTATGATTCATTTCAGATACAATCCCACAGAGCACTGAGACGAAACAATTCTAAACCTTCAAACTGTCATCCAATCCTGAGAACAGGGTCCTCCCATCAGGATGAAAAGCAATTGCACGTACTCCTGTAGGCTGGAAATAGGATAAGATTATGTCAGAGGAGCAGGATGAAAATCGCATTATGAGAAGAAAGGGTTAGAGAAGCACAAATTGAGTCATTTATCTATATGAGAGAGAAAGAGAAAAGTTAGCAAAGGAGAAAGGGGCAACATAGCAGGCTTCACCTGCAAGATAAACAGATAAATTGTTTCGACATATTTAGTTCTCCTTAAATGTTTTGCTTTTCTAGCAGCCTCATTCCAGGTTTTATTTAGAATTGCATACCTTTCAGACCTAAACTTAAAAGGAGAACAAAACTGAGAAAAATAATAAAAACATTCAATAATCACCACAAAGTATCAGTTCCAGCACACAAACTCAATACCTCAGGTCTCGATGATCCAATTAATTCAAAAGTTTCCAAATCCCAAAATTTTACAGTTCTGTCTGATGAACCTGAAATATATTTGAAAGATTAAAACGATTTACTAGCTACTACATAAACATGTTGTTGGGAATGCTGAAATTAAGAGTGGAGGATAAAATATTGAGGGACAAACTGAATGCTTAGAAGCTTACAAATCATTAATAAAAGCTTGCATAGGTTATAGAATATGTTAAGCATACTTGAAGCTTACAAGTGACAAGTTCTAACTGACTTAACTAAAGAAAGAACCAGTTAACAAGAATGGCTATAGATTGCTTGAACAAGTTGTAAGATTTCATTAAATTTCTTAGCAAGATGCATGAAAGGCTAGTATGAGTTGCTTGAACAAGTTGGACAAATGCTACATTATTTATAAATCCAGAAATTCATCAAATACATGCAAAGCCAAATTATATCTAAGACCTTACCTGTGGCCAAAAGAAACTCGAGGGGATGAAAATCTAAGGATCGAATATGTCCTTCATGGAATTTAAAATCATGCAAGAGCTTCCCAGCAGTTAGATCCCATATCTACATAATATACCAGTTATGGTCAAGGAAAAGAAAGCTTGCTGAAAGCGCACTGGTAGTGTGATTATTTATTAGTTTTTTACCTTTACAGCATTGTCAAACCCACCAGAAACTACCCAGCGACCATCGGGAGTGAATTTAATAGTACTAATGCCCTGAGTATGACCCTTGTACGTGTGGATGCATCCCTTCTTTCTAATATCCCATATCTTTAGATTCGTGTCCATGGAACCAGAAGCAAAGAACTCACCAAATGGATGAAATTCAACAGCAGTACAGCTGGATCTGTGTCCAGTTAGTGTGCGAACCACTACACTTCAATAACAATAACAAACACATTAGGAGTTTACTGAAAAAGTTACTTAAAATAAACTGTACTAGTCTGCAGCCGCCAATGAACAACAGATAAAGCCTTGGACACAAGACTCGTAAGTCCTCAAATCAGGTCAAGTCTATCAATGAGGTGACTTGATCCCTCAAATAATATCACATTTCCCCATGCATCATTTTATTGCCTCACGGAATCAGAACATGTAACCAGTTCTTTAAATAAGGGTAAGTTTGGCTAGCAACGATAAATAATACAGTAGCCAAATTTTCAAAAAATAATGATCAAGCAGCCAACTTACTCTTTGTTTCCTCAAGATCCCATATTTTTGTCACACCAGATGAAGCTCCAGCAAGCACCAAAACTTCTCCCGAATTAAAAGCTACGGATTCAACTGGACTTGTATGACCTGCAAACCTCTGCATATTTACCCCAAAAAGAAAAAATTCAGGCAGCTGTATATATGTCAAAAGAAGAATAGCACCCCAAGCCATGGTTTCCAACAACCATAGCAAATGAGATGACAATTCTTTAAGAAGAAATTGAGAATGCATACAACCAAACAAGGAATTTGCGGTTATATAATATGCACTTATGGTATAGAAAATTTACATTTTAAAACAATACGAATCAAATGAATAACCAAATACAAGATCAGCCTCAAATTCAAGTTTACGACTTTTCCCTAATTATGCTACTTCATAACAAGGAAGAATTCAAACAACTTAAAGGGCCTACAAGCTAATTCTAGATATCAGTTTAATAAATAACCCTTTGTGTAATCACTGAATTATAACATGTAATGTACTTGATTTTCAAAATAAGAGACAATTCCACAATTCGGAAACAATTAGAAACTTTCCATATCGTGATTGAAACTGCAACATCGAATATCAAATTTCCAAAAATAAAGGGCAGTACCATCAAAGCAGTGGCTTTGCCAATTGTCCAGAGATTGACAATGTGATCATCACCACCAGTAACAAAAAGCCGACGCGCCCTTTTCCCAATACTTAGACAATTAATACTGTCTGAATGCGCCACAAATTCCTCTATATTCCATTAAGTCAAGAAAACATTTCCCTTGACAAACATAATCACACAAATACCAAACACACGCGCAACGATTTACCAAATAAATCTGCTACATTTGTTTTTAAGCTCCTTTCAATCTCTCACTTGAAAATACGTAAACTAAACAGCTAGACTAGGTTAAATGAAAATCTTAAGTTAAACATTAACCCAAGTAGAGTATTTTGACTGAAATTTTACCCCATTTGACAGAACTTAAAAATCTTAACAAATTTTGTTACTTTCCTAATTTTCTCAGCTACCAAACCGAGCATGATTTCCTCGATTTCCAAAACAGAGATTCCAAAAAATGGCAAATCTCTCTACTTTCAATTTAAGCTCATTGAACAGTAAAATCACATCAAGATTTCGAAAAAGCAGAGCTCAATTCTAGCTAAATTCCAGCTAATAATCTCAAGAAAAATCGAAACTTCACACAAAAGGATACGCAGCTTGTAAGCACGCTTGGCCATTTCTGCACCAGTCGGAGCCAAATCAACGTCGGAAAGCCGAAACGAAGAAGACGAACTTGGGATCGGTAATAACAACTTCAGCTTGACCAGAAGAAGCAGAAGCGCTTTGAGCAGAAGCAGCTTTTCTAACCCTTCGATTTTTCAGCTGGAATGGAAATCCCACGAGAAAGATAGGAATCGGGGAATCGGATTCCGATCCAGCAGCGAGTCTGTGCTCTGAGCAGAAGCAGCTTTTCTTTCTTCTACTTCTCTTCCGCTTCTTTACGTAATGACTGAAAGCCCCTCGCTTTTAACCGCGGGGACGAGAAAATTACCTGGAAGCCCCCTGGTCGGTTATTTTGTGACGTTGCTTCGTCTCCGGGTCCGTATTTCTACGTGTTCAAATTTAGTGGTTGGGATTTTATAAATTTTTTTGTTGCTTTCAAAACCCAAAAAAAATAAAAATAGAGAATTAAATTTTTATTGTGCCCACCACGTTGGGTTGGGGGATGGTTGGTATGAAAATTTTATATTTTGAATGGTTATTCCTTTTTAGTGTAAATACGTATCGGATTTTAGTGTTTGGAGTTTAGGAATAAAAAATTTTGGACTCTTAATTTGTGTAAAAAAGAGATTGAAGTTTCCTACTTGACAACTAGTTAGATTCCTAAAAAACCAGTTTCTTTAGTCCTTTTGGAGGGTCATTGTATTGAAGATAAATTATTCAATCGAGACATGTTACTTATATTTTTTTGTGTCAATCTTCGTTAATCCAATTCTATAATAGTTGTATTTTATAGATTTAGTTCACTAAAAACTCAAAAAAGGTATCTGATTCGCTTTTTGAGATTTTAGGCAGCGGTTTATATTTATGAGATTTTCATAATTATTTATTTTGCATTGTCTCTAAAAAAACTCAAAAAGTTAGATATACAAGAAGTAGCTGGTATTTCAGTTTCACTTTCTATTTCAAATGTTGAAATACGTCGTGTATTTGGATCTCTTGTTGCGTAATGTTTGATAAATTATTTGCTAAGTAAATTTGGAATCAAGGTTGTTAATGGCATGAGATTTAAAAATTCTAACTATTCACAAGGCAGTGCATGTGAGTTTAATAATTCGATATTAAAGATATGAAACTGATGTTTTAATTTTCACTCATTTCAATTCAACTACCATGGATTGGACCCCAATGTGATGAGAAAAGCTTTGGTTTTAGCATGATTGTCACAAAAAATTTTGAAGTCATTTAGAAGGAACCAACCACCCACAAAAACTAACCAATTCCTTAAATTATTACTCACATTTTTTGCAGCAAAAGGAATATTATTTATTGTATATACCAACTGCGGTTTCAGAAGCTTTTGATTGGGATGTTAATTATTAATTCCTTAGATTATTTTGGTCATAGAACCAAATTTGGTACTTCATGAAGTTGTTCTCTTGAGTCAAGAAGTGAGAAAGGTCAGTTCTTTATCTTTCCTTCTTTTTTTTGGCAAAATTCCAAGAAATATTACCCTTATTTTGGGTCTAGTAATTTCTTACGCAACACGCTAACTTGATATGAAAATAATAGCTTCCAGGTTAACTCGTTGATGAATCGGGTTGTTATTGGATCACCCGTTAGAAACCTGTTAATGAGTTGGGTCGTAAGAGTCACCAGTTAAGAACTTGTTAAGATAACGAGTATGACACATATACAACATGAACGAGGCCCATTTGCCAGGTCTAGATATTAGGCATGACAATTTATTGCATGATTCGTTAACCTGACACGAAAATAATAAATTTTAGGTCAACTCGCTAACGGATCGAGTCGTTAGCACGTTACCTATTAAGAACTTGTTAACATAATGGGTTTGACATGAAATAATCCGTTAATATAACGAGTATGACACCAAAACAATACAAACACAACCCATTTACCAGGTCTACCTTATTTGCACCAGTTTCTTATCAAAGAAAGATTTGAAGTGAATTCTTTTAGACAGAATTATACAACTAAATAACCACCTCATGTTTCAATTTGTGTCGTAAATGTAAAAAGAGCCAAGTATTTTCCAAACTAAAACAAAGAGTGGAGAGCAGCATATGTTGAATTCAAGGAGTGGCTCAACGTGTGAAGCACAGTCCCCATGTGTTTAAACTGAGATAAGCTTTTGGTCAAAGAATGATTGGGCAGTGAGTCATCCGACATGCCATACAAAGCGTCATGGCACCCAACTTTGCCACTAGATCTCCAAGAATGTTCGACTTTCTTTCCCACTTGGTTATTATATTTGTTATCTGTATATTCTGAGAACATATAGAATTGTATATTGATCATTGACCACAGAAATAACAACACTATCAGCCACACCACTAACAACCACAAATATGTATAACTAAGGATAAAGACCACATGCACCTCCTACTCCTAGTGAGTAAAAATTAACCACAAAATTAATCCCAACGTCTCACTTGTGTTCCGTAGGTAAACGCAAGGTTATAAAAGGCGCTAGTTGGACGGCTAGGCATTAAATGCTAGTCAGACGATAAACATGATTAAATTCATTACATAAGGTTAAAAATAGGTTTGTATGCTACTTAACAATTTCATTTTTTGAATTGTTCTGTCGGATCAGTGGTTCAAGACCTTTGGTCTATACCCCGACCTGATGAAAAGAAAAGAGATCACTTTTTATGAAAGAATGATTCTGGTTTAGTTCATAAGCCTCTTAAAAGTAGAAGTCACTTCAGTGTGATCCTCAAAGACAGAAAAAAATTGCAGCCAATTTGATAATGATCAAGTGACTTTACTTATTCGGCCAAACCAAGGAATCTCCCATGAAAATACTCCTTTTGGATAACTCCCTCACAGACCCAACTTGCAATTTCTGCAAGCTCACTGACTGCTTTGAAACGTTTTTGAGTTGCTGAGTTTTTTTCCTCATGTTGGCCCCTTTTTCACCTTTTGTACTCTTTTTGTATGCTTCAATGATATCGACACATTACATATTTTCTAACAACAGATGAACGTTGACGAACACCCTTTCTTTATGTTCTCCCGTTTAAGGGAAGAACTAATAAATTAGAACACAAGCACCTCCTGGTAAGTAAAATTAACCACAGAAAATAATTACATTAATTACTAATTGAACAATATTCACACACAAAATTGTTTAAAAAAATTAATAAATTGCATTAGCAGCACCTTCCCATTGATAAAAGAACACAATTGGAATACATCAAATTATGTCAAAAGAGGTCTAAAGTATGCTGCTACTGCTTCACCGTTACACAACTCCTCCAAAGTCCCTAACTTGCAACTTGGGCAAGCTCACAACCCGAGTTGGAATGTTTTCCGGTTAAGACTTTATCCTCATATAATTGATTGCTGGAGGTTGGAGGCTCTGGTTAAACAACTTGTAGGAGTTCCTGGACAATTTCAGATATTCGTGGCCGGAATTCTGGCTCCCTCTGCAAGAAAGATTGGATAGAAGGTGACATTATCGCTTAGCGAAACACTAACCAGTCCTTGAAAATATTCAGCATTGAAGTGTTGCTTATGGAAAATTATACGTTGCTTCTGATGTGAACTGGATACATAACTCTAACACGCACAAAACTTCTTGTGTTCCTGAAGCGTTATCTAGCAAGAACACAAAAAGTTTGTCGGAGGTCAAAGGGAACGAAGAAAACTCACCTGTACGCAAGAGGAAATGATATCGGCAAAACGGGATAAAGACTTCATTGTATATGCTCCATTTAGAGAGGGATCAACCATCCTCGATAATGCATCAATGTCATGAAGCTTTGGAACTGCCCATCTAACCAAATATTGCTCCCCACGAGGCCGTGACCTAGAAATTTAATAACAAGAGGAGAAAACATTGTGAATGATAGCTAAGTTCAGATGCGGCAAACATATTTAACAGCGAAAGATGCGAGAAACAAGCATATTAGTTCTTGATGTAATTGCCAACCTGTCATAGGCCTTCCTCCCTGTAAGGAGCTCTAACATTACAATCCCAAAGCTGTAGACATCACTTTGGTGAGTATAACTTCCTGAGTCAAATTCCGGGGCAGCAGAACCATACGCAGTGAGGAGGTGCCCGGACATCTGAAAGTCAATGAACACAAATCAGCATCAGATTAAGCCAACTCTATATATATCTTAAATTGAAGACTCTTATCTCCGACAGTGAGTTGGCTCCACCCAACAAGTCAGTTTATTACTTGCTAGTATAACTTCAAGGTTTCAAATCTATAGGTATGAGACTTACTGAGGGAGACAATATCAGGGGAGCTAAACTGCAGTCCGAGACATGTACTTCAAGCTCTTCATCAAGGAGAAGATTGGCAGACTTGAAATTATGGTGCACAACAGGTGGTTGACAGGCCTCATGCAAACACCTTTACAAAAAGTAAAAGAGAAGATTAATGACATAGGTGGAAGGCCAGCTCTTTGCACAATTGCACATGTCAAAAATAATAAGGAACGGAGGTTTTTGGTTTTGAGTCATTGCTTTACTTACTCGAGAGCTCTTGCAGCTCCAAGTGCAACGCGGATGCGCATGCTCCATGTGAGCTTGTGATGAATTTCATCATCAGTATGCAGTGCATCATGGAGAGTCCCATCTGTACAATACTCATACACAAGTAGTCGTTGACCATGCTCAGCAGAGTAACCCACTAGTTTCACAATATTAGCATGTTTTGCTTTAGAGATATTAGATATTAAATCAAGAAATTCCTCATCGCTCTGCTGCGTACATGCTGTACTGTCCAGTTTCTTGACCGCCAAAATCTACGAAAGAATCCAAAAGTGGAAGATTAGATGCCAGGGCAGAGACATATGAAATGAGGAAGCCGAACAAAGCTAGCAAGAAACCATCATCATCACTGCAAACGCCAAAGAACAAGCCAACGGTCTAATGTAAGGGAAAAACAAGCCAAACGACCAAATGGCCAGATGGTAGTCCCAGAAGATAAGTTAACGAATAATCAAGGGAATCATACCTTTTGGTCAGGCAGCGTAGCCCTATAAACACTGCCAAGCATGCCTGCTCCAATAAAATTTTCTTCAGAGAAGCTATTGGTATACTGCTGAAGTGATCCAACAGTAAACAATTTTACAGAGCTTAAGTCTGGAGACTTCTTGGGATGCCTGCTTGTAGTTATTCTAGCAGGCCCAGCTGAACTTGCGGTACACTTGTTGGCAAGGAAAAATGGGGGAGGGGGTGGTTGCGGCAAAAATTCATCGTCGTCTGTCATGTCAATTGAATGATCCTTCTTATACATCGAACTTT